CAGACTTTAGCACATTTATATACAGCATATCCACTGGAACGCAAGCCCTTAGACACCAAAATATACACTTTCTCAAGTTCATCTGATCTTCTGTTTGACAACTGAAGAGGAGCCTATACTAACTTCAGAATTTTGCACACACCAAGAACAGGTAGTTCTGACCCAAGGGAGGTTCCAGGGGGTTGGGGCAACAGCAAGGGCAAGTCTCTACAAGTTGTTACTATGAAGGCCAAGGCAAATGTTGAAAGAAGCAGGGCTAGATCCACTCTGCTCGATCACTCAATGTTCCAGTGCTCTATACAACTAAACACTCCTTTGCTCCCTCCAATCACCATAGGGTTTATACTGCTTCTCCAAGAGGATTCCAGGAAGCCCCAAAGTTATGGCACATGCCGGGGCGGGGAGGGGGGGGGGGGAGAAGCAGGCGATTAAATTCCCATGATGCCAGGGTACTGGGTAGTCTCCAAGGGCAGAGTGTTCTAGAAAAATGCAAATAATTCAGGCTCTCCAAAGAAATTCCAGGCAAATACAGACAGCTGCTGTCTTAGAAAATCATACAGAATTGTAGTTTAGGAGCTTGGATGGAGAGGCACAAAAACAGGCAAAACATTCTCAACCTATCAGGGATTCTAACTCACCACTGAGTATTCTCTTTCCCCTCCTCCCCCTTTTATATATCCCCTTAAAAGATTCCCTGCGCAGTGCATAGTATCTAGCCACATGTGCATCCATTGCCAATGTGATAGCCTCTAAGTAATTAGGGGAGGGGGGAGTGTCTCAATGTACTTTAACCTTTTTTTAAAGTTTGCATGAGAATTAAAAATGTCTTCTTTCCAGTATTCAAATATTTGCCACTCTAAGAAAATAAAATCTGAAAAAAAAAAAAATCAAAAACAGAAGTCACCACTCTGGCCACATCCCTCTCAAGGATCTGCCACGAAAACATAGGTAAAATAAAAATAAAATTCTTATAATCATCAATTAAGGATTCATACTTGACACCAACACCGATTTTGGAATTTCTGGAAAAAAACATGCCAGCCATAAGATCTGTCACATCAGTCCCACAAAACTGTTTCAGTCTTCAGCAAATATGATATCAATTTGGCTGCATAATTCCCTTACTCATTTTTAATTCTCTTCATGCTCCCTTCCCCAAATACATATATTGAAATTTCCATTCTAAGGTAATTTCAGTAACAAACTAGAAGGCCATTCTTTAAGTCAAATATGAGTATGCAGCAAGAAAACATCTGTCATCGCTGTGCCAAGCACTCTGTGGCTATTTAAATCACTCACCGGCAGATTACAAACCTGAATTACGGAATATGAATTTTAAAATAAATTTTTTTTTTTAAAGATTTTATTTATTTATTTGACAGAGAGAGACACAGCGAGAGAAGGAACACAAGCAGGGGGAGTGGGAGAGGGAGAAGCAGGCTTCCCGCCGAGCAGGGAGCCCGATGTGGGACTCGATCCCAGGATCCTGGGATCATGACCTGAGCCGAAGGCAGACGCTTAACGACTGAGCCACCCAGGTGCCCTAAAATAAAAAATTTTTAAAAAGTACTGTCAGTTCATAGGCCAAATTAAAGAAACATCATTCCAAAATAAAGAATATCTGAGGTATATAAAACAATTTAAACTTTTCTTTAAAAAGTATTAAGTCTTATTGTTGAAGCATTCTTTTAACCCAGGTGTTCCAAATAATGTCGCAACAAAAGACAAGACTCAACTTAAAACTGCCATTAAGGAGGGGGGTACCCACACAGAACCAGAGCTCACAATACTACTTCCCAAGCTCTAGAAAGCGTTCTATGGGTGTGAAGGGCGGGGGGGGGGGGAGAACAGGTCATGGAAAAGAAGTTTCACTATTTATAAATACTGTACATGGTTTAAAAGATCCCGGGTTTTCCAAAAGTCTTAGCTTCCACTTTGAGTGTAACCTTATGACAGTTATGGCCAATATTAAAACAAGTGTAAAGCAGATGTAATGTACCATCCCTACAAATACAAAATGCACATCCCGCAAATACAACCAGTGTCTAAGGAACTAGAAGTTTATGAACTCTTTAACAGCTTTTCAACTATTCTGTCCTATGCAAATGACTTTCAAATTCTCTGGCAGGCCCCAGAAGTTAAAGCGCAAGAAACTGTATTTAATTAAAGATTCAGTCTAATTCCCAGTAGTAAATCACAGGAAATAGTTCCAAAGCAGCCTCTCCTCAGTTCTAAAACAGGTTTTGGTTGATTTGCATTTTAGAATTCGAATTTTTTTTAAGCTAAAAGTCATAGTAAAATTTGTCCCTTTTGTGAATCTTTAAAACAGGAGGGTCTTTCAAATCTGAGAAATTTGGTTTTAACAAGTAACTCATTTTTATGAAAACTCTAACCAGAAGACTAGTTATGAGTTAGAACACTTAAGGTTGTTTCTTTTCTTCTTAAAATATCCTTTTACTCAAAGTGAAAATGCACTTGTTGTAATCTGACTTGCACCAACGGACTCTCATTACACCTGAAACATTTACTCACTTGAGAATGGCAGCCTGCTCCCTCCCAAAGCCCCACTTGGTTTCCACTGGGAACTGCCGCTGGGCCTCCAATCCTGAACAGATATTAACAATTCTTACTACTAATGGATCTTCTAGCTCTTTAAATACATTTTTAAAGAAAAAATTATAATTGCATTTGGGGAAAAAAATTAGAAGAACCTAATAAAAAAGATTGGGGGTTTGATCTGGCCTTAAAATGTATTTTTTTAGCGCGCCTCGGTGGCTCAGTTGGTTAAGCGACTGCCTTCGGCTCGGGTCATGATCCTGGAGTCCCTGGATCGAGTCCCACATCGGGCTCCCTGCTCGGCAGGGAGCCTGCTTCTGCCTCTGACCCTCCCCCCTCTCATGTGCTCTCTCTCATTCTGTCTCAAATAAATAAATGAAATCTTTTAAAAAAAATGTATTTTTTTAAAAGCACTAAATCTTAAAAGTCTAGGTTATATTCCTAGTTTAAGAAGAATACTGATTTAAAACCATGAGCGGCAAAACTAAATATAATCCCAAAACACTGCCTTTCTCCATCTCTGAAGAAAGGCACTCCAGCAAACAAGTAGATTGTATCCATTTCCAAGGACGTAAAAGTGGTGTAAGTACACACCGTACTTTGAATGTCCAAAAAAAAATATTTTTTTTAAATGGCAAACGCTTTACAATAAATAGCTCAAGCAGGGTTGATAGATGAGTAAGTCAAGTACTTAAATTCAAATGTTAAGTAAAATTGGATTTGGCAGACAATCCTGATTTTGTGACTTAAAAGCATACCAAGCTTTTTGAAACACTTGGTAAAACTGCATGTAATGCCTAGTAATGAGATTGTAAGTGGTACCTTTACTCTAAAATACACTTTGGAAAAAATAAAATCCTGGCTCCTTCTCCAGGAACTTCAATAAGATATGAGTAACTTAACCTTTTTGACACACATTAACCACAAACATGACAGTGTATGTAAAACAACCGTGGTGTAACCAATTGCGCAGCAAAGATCAATCTTTATTATGCTGTACAGGCAGGATAAGGGGTGAGGAAGAAGTTCTCAGCTAAACTTTCATATCGATCCCTCCACCTGTGACAGTGAGAAACTGTCAGCTTCAGAAGGCCGCGCGGCGAACGGACCCCCCGGTAAGCCTGCCCACAGCCCGTCCTGAGAGCCCCCGGGTCTTTTCCGCCTCCAAGTAGGGAAGTACCTGGCCCCCGCCCTGAGTCCCTCCGAGTCTCCCCTCTCTGAAAGGCAGAAAGGACCAGAGGAACCTCATCTACAGTCCTCCATCGAAGCAGGACGTTAGCACACGTTCCTTTGATGCGCACCTCCACTCCGACTCCCCCAAATCACTTGTCACAAAGACCCCTGCCTTACCCCTCGTATCTGTACTTCCACAGTCCATAACACTGAGGTGGCAAAGTGAGAAAAAAGATACACACATCTCCACCTCTAATCACCCAGGGCAGCTTCTCCAAGCCTAATCAAAGACCTCGGACCATGAGCGAGGCCAAGTTTGGGGGCATTTCCTAGCGCTGAGAAGTGCTGGCCTCGCAACCCCGCGGCTCGGCCCGGAGCGGCGCAACGGCCGGGCGCGCTGGCCCTTTAAAGGCGCTCTCTTCCTACGCCTGCGGCCCCTCCCTCGCCGTCGCAGCTCTCGCTCCCGCCCCCGCCTCCGCCGAGGGTCACACTTGAACTTTAGCTCTCCCAGCGCGGCCCCGCGCCCGCGCACCGCAGGCGGTGGCCGCCTCTTCGCACGTGTCGGATGCACTACCTCGGGCTCCGCGCGCCCGGCCCCCTGCACTTGAGGCCACTTCGGATAAAATCAAAACAAAGCAAAATGCACACCGGCCTCCAAAAACTGCGCTGCCTGCCCCCAGGGGTCGGCTCGCGACTTTCCGTCCCCTCCACCTACAGCTCCGTCCCCGGGCGGCGGGGCCCCGAAAAGCCTCGCCGCGCCCTCCTCCACCCAGCGCGGCGGAAACGGCTCCGCGGCGCAGCCCAAGGCTGGTGGGACGCGCGCCGCGGAGACGGAGAGGAGCCGCCCTCACCCCCCAAGGTCCAGGAGGAAAAGGAGCAGTGGCAGGAGTCCTCGCCGGTCGTGGGCGAGCAGCCCCCAGTAAACCCCTTCCTCCTTTCACTGGCGAACTTTTCTGCCCGCTTTGATGTCCACTTCTTGTACTTTTTTCCCTCCCTAATTCCCAAGTGAGCCCCCTCCCCCGTCCCGCTCGAACTCTCACTTGAGCGCGCTCACACACACTTATTCCGGTCCCCCGACAGGTCTCGGGCAAGCCCACCACTCACATCTGCCACTTCTCGCGCTCTCCGCACGCGCTGTCCGCATGCCCGGCACTTTCAGGGCAAGCCAACTTCCACAGGCGCCCCCTCATCTGCCCCACCACAACCTCAGGTGGAGGCAGGGGTCCCCGCGCCCCGCTCCCTATCCGGCCGTGCGCCCCGAGGCCACTCACCTTCCAGCCCGCTGAGCTGTTGCTGTCACCCTTATCTTTGAAGTAGGGCACGCTCTTGACCATCCACTCGTAGATCTGCGACAGCGTGAGCCGCTTCTCGGCTGAGCTCTCGATGGCCTTGGTGATGAGGTCGGCGTAGGACAGGTTGCCCCACGCGTTGCGGCGGGACGAGCTGCTCTTTCGCGGCTGCCCTGCGAGCGGCCCGGCGGCGGCTGGGGGCACCGGCGGGTGCTGAGACAGCGGCCCGGGCGGCGGAGCCTGCGGCGGC